AGAAAACATAGTGTTCAGACAGTTTAATTTGTATTCTCAAAACAACTTTATTCACAAAAAAACCCCCAACCCATTCCTCAGCAAAAAAATGTATTGTTTCTTGAGCCTATGTTTTTAGGTTTGTTTGAAATCTTCTTGCTTGGCTGAGCTCAAGCCAATTCCTGGCAGCTGGATTTCAGCAAGGGAAATACTGTATCATTGCTTTAAAAAGATAGTAGATTGTAAATAAACAGTGAACATGATGAGTCTACAAAAAGCTAACACAGCACTAAGCAGTAGTTTAGCTGAAGGCAATTTCAATTGGTAATGTTTACCATGTGCTGGTTTCAGCAGTTTTGGAGCAGTGCTGTTCTGATGCTCAGTTCCTGTGCACTCTTGTCTGGGGTTGGATCACCTGCAACTAAGGATCGTTCTTCCCGACCTCTTCTATAGTAACCTGATCATGATAGTGTGTCTTGCTGATATGAACATTTTCTTTATTTCAGAAGAAATATTTTATATATACAACTGAAAAAAACCCCAACCTTTCAATGTGACCGTGCAGATTAGCAGTGCTGGTTTCAAAGTGTTGTGTTCAGCCCCTGTGCTGACACGTGGTTATACATTTGTCAGGTATGCATATGCAGATTTCTGATTTCTGTCACTGCTACCACATGGAATTGTTTTATAAAGTAGGAGTATTACTCTAGAAGCAACGAGCTAGATCTGTGAGTGCTGGCACCAGCTGAATGTTTTTTCACGTTGGGTAGTGCAGAGTCTCTCCCCATGGGTGAGCTGATACCTCAGCCTTCTCCTCAGCTGGTTGTTCCTGGAATGGCCCAGTCTTTGAGATGCCCATTGTCTTTTGGTTGATATTGTACAGTAATGAGCATGGAAACCTTATTTCCTCAGAAAACCAATTGGAATTGTATAATTCAGACTTCGTATTACTACTGTTTTTGGTGGAGTACCTGACAAGTTTTAAGCCTGTTTTAAAACTGAAAGTGCCATTTGGTCCTTTTCCAGAAACCTATTTAGGAGGGATGCTAATCTAAAATAGCTACTTAGTGTAAAATACAAAGCTCCCCATACTTAGGGTGAAATCTGGAAACTGGATTTGAAGGAATCAGATTTTTATCCTGAGGCTCTCACCTATATCATCCACCCATTTCACAAGGCTCTGTGGAATCCTGAACTTGGCAGGCAACTATTTATGTATCATGGTGATGACAAGGACATAATATAGAACTTCCCTCTGCTAATCCTGGCCCTTCTACTCCATTGTTGCTTGAGACTGGACACATAACTATGAAAAAAGGTCTCATTTTCTCCATCTGGGAGCTGCAGATAATATTGTTTACCTAAACCAGAGGGATATTGTGAGCATTCCTTGTTATAATAGTCCATTTCTAAAACTCATTTTAAAAAACAGATTGTTAAAACCATTTTAAAAGTACTATTCTGTAAAAGTTTAGTGGTGAGTGTTTCCATATTCAGCTTCTATTGTTAGAACACCAGTATTTGTTTTATTTTATTGCATTTTAGATGGTTAATAAGATTTCTTAATTTAAAGTTGCGTCTCTCTAATGACCTTTCCTGGATGCTAAATTTTAGATTGCATTTACATATGAGACACTACTATTTTGTTAAGTAGGAGACATATTATGAGGATAATCAGTTTATCTTAAGCTGTAATTCTATGTCTAGCAAGGATTCAAATTTCTAGGATGGAGGGTGGCTAATGGCTTAGTGAAGTCTGGTAAAACATCTTTGAGATAAATCCCAGCATAATGAGATCAGTTAGATCTAGCTGTAAAATGGAAGAGAAGCTTAATTTTAATTTTCAATTGCACAGTTTGGTGCTTTGCTTTTTTTCTTTTACAACTTGACAGAGCTCTATCTGAAATTTAAAAAATGCTGGAACTGGATGGATCTTTTGAATATGCATAATCTAAACAGGAGAAACTAAACTAAAAAAAGAGAAGTAGCTATTTTCATGTAAGGTTAGATTTTCTATTCCATGGAAACTAATTTGACTTGAATGTAAATTCTCTGGTGAAAGGATGTGCCTGCTTTACAGCTACAAGATTATTCTTACCAAAGGTTATGTGGATACTAAAATAGATATCTAAATTATAAAATATATATATATAAATTATATATATAATACAGACAGCAAGATAATACTAACAGTAATGATTTCAATCACAGAGATACACAGTTCCATACACGATCAAGGGGTCATTGTCAAATTAGGCAGCATCTGATTTCTTGCCATTTAGGTTGGTCTCTTAACTAACATGCTAACAACAGTTTCACTTTTATTTTTAGACGTATGCAGTATATCACACTTTTTGGTTTCACTGTTCAAATGCAATTACAGTGATTGTGACAGAAACTGGGCAAGCCTGGCTGCAGGATTAAAGCTGCTGTTCAAGCACAGGGCTTGTGAACTGGCAGTGCAGATGTTCTAGGGCAGTTGGTACAATTTCATTCTGAACTGCCAAGGGCATGAGACCTTGCCCTCCCCCTCCCCCCCCAGATACCCCAGAAAAGCTATATATTTAAAATACAGTGGCATTTTCTGAAATTGGTTCATGTTTTGGAGTATGAGAAGGTAAATCACAATGAAGAGCCTTCTCACACTTCAGTATCTGAGCCAGCTCAGAGCCACTAACAACCCTCAGTGTTCTTTGAGAGGCACAGTAGTTTTGTCACCTAAAACCTGCATGTAACTGATAATATTCCAGAGCAAGGGGAGCATCACTTCTGACAGCTCTTGTGAATCAGCTCTGAGTAATAGGACCTGGGCAGTTGCAGGAGACAGCTCACACTGAGCAGAAGCATCCTCAGTTCTCACCATTTTCAACACTCAGTGTGGAATCAGAGCCCTGGGCAAGAGATGGAGCGCCTGAGGGCACTCATCAACAGAGCACTGAGCTCCTTCAGAAACTGGCTGTATTGTTAAAAAGCCCAGGGGCACAGAAGGCAGGTGCTGAAGGACCTGAGGAAAAGCCAGTACTACATCTGGGGCCCAAGAATCTCTTCCTTCTGATGAGATTCCTTCTGATTCCTTCCAAGAGCCCAGCTTCCTCTCTCTTTTTGGAGCAGAGCAAGATGGGGAAGATTTGTAGTTCCTGTACTGAGGCAGAGGGTGTCAGAAGTACTGTGCTATGGTTTGAGGCAGATGGAAGTTCAGGTTTAGGAAAATAGTACCTAGAAACAGAGTCTCTACCCAGCATATGCAGTACAAATTTCTTTCTTCACGTAGTATTTGTTTCTTCCTATTGTGCTACTTAACACACTGCAGGACAAATAACAGAATTTCACCCTAGTTTTCCTTACTTTTTGAGATAATACTTGATTAGGTAAACCAAAAGCTCCTAATTCTAGGAAAAAAACCCTAAATCAAAACCCCAAAACCACCCCCCCCACACACATACACTCAATCTACACAAAAAAACCCCACCTACAAAGCAAAACCAAACCAAACAAAAAAAAACTAAAACCAAAACCAAAAAAAATCCCCCAGCCTAAAAGTAAAAATTTTAAACAGGAATTCAATCAAAACCGAGAGCAGTGCTTCCTGCATGTCTGTACCTATTTATCTACATCCGCACACTCCAAACGTGCTCAGGAACAGTCTTTGTCACCAAAATGAAGTTGCTTTGAATGGCATATTGCCAGAACTTTTCCCAGGCCAAATTTGGCTTTTGTCAAGTACCATTCCCACAAGCCCTTCCCATTCCCAGCAGTTTGCACAGTCCTGTGTCGGGAGCTGAGGGAGTTCTCTGCCAGCTGGGCGCTGCAGAGTGCTGAGTTCACTGGTGTGGGTGCAGCCTTCCTATCCGTAACAAGTCTTCCTGCTACTCTGCGCTCACTTCTTAGAACAAGACTTCACGTTGTAGTTTCAGCCTTGGGATTTCCCCAGCCAGGGCGGGCCTGTCCCAGAGGAAGTGCAGCGCCCTCAGCCAGCGCTGCCCAAAGGGCCTGGTGCAGCTGAAGGAGCTTCGTGGGGCAGTGATGTGCTCATGGCAGCTCAGAGCAGCTGAGAGGCAGCGCTTTGGCCATAAAGGGTTATGGGGAGGAAATGGCTTTCCTGAACTGCACTGCTGTGGAGCAGAGTTAGGAGAGCGGGACCATTAAGTGCTGAGAAAATGGACCTGGGGATCCTGGTAGATGGCAAGTTGAATATGAGCCAGCAGTGCCCTGGTAGCCAGGAGGGCCAACCTTGTCTGGGGTGGCATCAGGCAAAGCATTGCCAGCCGAGTGAGGGAGGGGATTGTCCCGCTCTGCTTGGCATTGGAGCAGCCTCACCTTGAATATTGTGGCAGTTTTGGGCACTACAATATAAGAAAGATATTAAGCATTTAGAGAGTGTCCAGAGGAGGGAAATGAAGATGGTGAAGGGCCTTGAGGGGAAGCTGTATGAGGAGCAGCCGAGGGCACTTGGTCTGTTCAACCTGGAGGAGACTGAGGGGAGACCTCATTGCAGTTACAACTTCCTTGTGAGGGGAAGTGGTGGGGCAGACACTGATCTTTTCTCTGTGGTGATCAGTGACAGGACCCGAGGGAACGGCCTGAAGTTGTGTCAGGGGAGGTTTAGGTTGGATATTAGAAAGAGGTTCTTCACCCAGAGGGTGGTTGGGCACTGGAACAGGCTCCCCAGGGAAGTGGTCACAGCACCAAGCCTAACAGAGTTCAAGAAGTGTTTGGATGACACTCTCAGGCATATGGTTTGACTCTTGGGGATGGTCCTGTGCAGAACCAGGAGCTGGACTCAAATGTTCCTTGTGGGTTCCTTCCAACTCAGCATATTCTGTGATCCTGTGAAAACCAAGCCCCAAGCCCGCTAGAGCTCAAGGAGCGGTTGGACAACGCTCTCAGGCAGAGGGTGGGATTGAGCTGTGCAGGGCCAGGATCTGGACTCAGTGGTCCTCGCAGGTCCCTCCGAACTCGGGACATTCTCCGGTCCCCTCACAACTCTCTGTCACGCCTGCGCGCCCCCGCCCGCACAGCCCCGCCCGCCGCTCGCCAAGATGGCCACCTCTGCGGCGCGCTCTGCGGCTCGGCGGCTCCTCCTGCCTTGGTCCGCCCGCCTGGGGCGAGCGCCCGGCGCGGCGGAGCGGGTGAGGCAGCGAGACGGGGACCGCAGGGATGCGCGGGGAGCGCGGGCGCCGCGACGGCTCCGTGCGCTGGTGCTCGGGCGGGCGCTGAGGTTGTCTGGGGGCTGGAGGCCGGGGGCGCGGTGCACGCTGGGGTTTGTAGTCGCGGCGGAACCGCGGTGCAGGGCGGGACTTGTAGTCTCACCCGGCCAAGCAGGGGGGCCGCGGCCGCTCCTCACAGATCCCGGCGGGACGAGCCTGGCGGCCGCATCCACAGGGTTTGCTGCTGGTGCCCATGCCCGTGCCCGCCCCAGGGGGCTCAGGGGAACGTTCAAACTCTCATTCACTCCCGTGGTTCGGTGGAGGCCCCGGTCCTAGAGCTCTTCCCCTTCTGTCACTTCCCCCGTCCTCCCAGTTTGAAGCCTAAGCTTTTCTGTCTGTAAACAGGAGAGGGAGGTCTTTTCAAACAGAGTTTTTTCCTTCCCTGTAATGCAGACGGACAGTGAGAGTCCCTTGCATCAGCCCAGGCTGGGAGCTGAGTGCCCGGGGAGCAGCTCTGGAAGAGGCTGTTGGAGTGTCCAGCAGCAGGGCAGGGTGGCACAAACGGAGCAGGCGACAGAGGGAGTGATTAGTTTGCACTTGTCAGGAGGTTTCTGTGTGGCAGCTGGTTTTGGGCTCCTTAGTGTGAGGAGGACGTCAGTGAAGTGGAGTGTATTCAGCAGAGATGAACTGGGCTGGAACACATGCCCTGTGAGGAGGGGCTGAGGGTCTGGGACTTGTTCATCCTGCAGAAGACACGGCTTCAGCTGGACCTGTGGGAGGAGCTATGAGAAGGACCTGTGCCAGTACCCATGAAAAGGTTGTCAGGAAGACAAAACCAGGCTTGTTACAGCGGGGCATTGTGGCAGAATGAGGGGCAATGGGCATAAGTTGAAACGAGAGAGGAAAAATTGGTATGTGAAAGCTTTTTTCCCCGTGAGGCAGTCAAACAGTGGAGCAGGTTGTGTACACAGCAGAGCTGTGCAGTTTCTCACCATCCTGGGAGATTTTCAATGTCCAAATGCAAAGAGCCCTGAGCAAAATGGTCTTTACCCCATAGCTGATCGTGATTGGAGCAGGAAGGAAGTTAGACTAGGAACTTTCTGAGGTCCCTTCAAACTTAAATTGTGCTATGATTCTGAAATATATGAGTTTTGAGAGATCACACTATTGGTATTTCAGGGGGAGAGTGGGTGAGAGCTGGATTTTGTACTTCCTTGTTTAAGGCAGTTACACGGGGAAAGAAATCTTTGTTTATTTGGTACATTTAAAATAATAGTCTTTGAAATAATTGATTCCTTGAAGTTTGCATTTGGGATACAGATCTGCATTTCTTGACGTTGAAAAAGTGCAATGAACCTTTTTAACCTACATCGTCCCTTCTTTTCTGCCCCACTCTGATTTAATGTGCTTTAACTGCCAGGTGATTGTTTCAGAGGTGACAGTTTCACAGTCTCTGACCAATGAGTGACTGATTTACAGTCCTGGACGTAGGCACTTGGGCTGTATCTCACTTCACTTTAGAAAGCAGGTGCCCAGAGGAATTCCGGATGGTAAAGGATATATTCAAGGTCCTGCTGGCTCTTGCTGGCAGAGCTGGGAAACAGAGTGTGGCTGTCTGCTGTTAGTAACGTGCTTCTGTGTCAGATTGGAGGGCAGCAGATGTATCTCCTCAGTTTTAGTAATCTTTGGGGTTTTGTTTGGATTCAGGTTACTGCATCCCAGGTGTGAAGTAGCGGTGAATAGTAGTGCTGAATTTTATTTCCTTTATGCATTCTTTAGAAAAGATCCACGGACATAATGTTTAAGTTCAGGAATACATTGTTCAGAAGAGTGTCTTTGGATATAACTTAATGACTGATTTTTCTTACAGTGTGTGCATATTGGAACAGGCAGGCTCAGGGCTTCCAAAGCAGCCACAGAAGTAATCTTAAACGTTCCTGAAACTAGGGTGAGTCCATTGGAAAATGGCTTGCAAGTAGCTTCTGAAGACTCTGGACTCTCAACATGCACAGTAAGTAACTTGTAAAGGAAGGGTTTTTTGTACTCTTCATGTGTGTTCATTTCCTTGTGGAACTAAATTGCATTTACATGCAATGTTCCTAAAACTTAAGATAGGAAACAGAGGTCTTAAGGCTTTTGTAGATTTGTGATTAGATTTTTTTGTGAAGATGGAAATTTTCCTTTTCTTGAAAACCTGATGTGTTTAAGGAAAAAGCCATTTAAAAATAAATCTTGAAAATCTAAGTGTGGCTCAAAGAGCAAAACAGAAAAGCTTTTAGGTGGTAAAATGACTTTTTTTTCTCTGTTGAGGTTGGACTTTGGATTGATGCTGGAAGCAGGTATGAAAATGAGAAGAACAATGGGACTGCTCACTTCCTTGAGCATATGGCTTTCAAGGTGAGTATGAATATTGATGTAGAAGTTTACAGTGAATTTCTAAGTGTGCTGGTTTAAAGGTAAACCACCAGGAGAAATGAACCCAACTCAAAAGAGATTATAAGTCAGAGTTACAATTTAATGAAGAATAATACAATAATACAATTATATGGACAAACAATTGGTTTTAACCCACAAAACCCAGATGTATAACCCAGCACCCTGGGGCACAAACAGAGTGATGTTCGTGCTGAGACCCATGTGGTCCCCCCCGAGTCCAAAGTAAAAGGAAAACCTCTTGGTGAGGGTGCTGGTCACAGTCTGGTCGAGAGTGGTGGTTGCAGTCCAGCCAAGGTTCTGGTCCTCCTGTGGATCCAATAGTGGGCCCAGAAGTCCCAAGACCCCAAGATTATAAACACTCAGGTTCAAGTGGGAATGCCCAGTACCTCCCCCAGGGCGGGGAGTTCCACAATGGGTGATTGTGAGTCATGAGATATTTTTGGAATCCTTGGTGGCCCGTTAGCAGACATGACCCCTCAGGCTGGGTGTGGAAGTGCTAATGACTCCCTGGAGGGCAGTTAACACACCTGAGTCATTAGTGTGAGGATAGGAACATCCTCCTGTCTCACAGCCTTATAGCCTGAGGGGTCAGGTGTGCTCTGGGCAGCTGCTGCAAATGGTCTATTGTTAACAGTTCCTGGGAAATGACACAGAGGGTGTAGAATACACAGTTTGGGTTACACCCACACAGTGATGAACTGGTCCTGGCTGCTCTAACTAGGACACTAAGTTATTTATCTTTAAAGATCAACGATAAGAACTTTGCCAGAATTCTATAAAGAAATTTTCCAAATTGAAATGAGAAAAAAAACATGGACAACTAAAACCTTGGTTTCCATTGGAAAATGAAGTCCTATTTCTGTGTAGCTGATACACAGCTACAGATTACACAGTTCTAGTTTTAACTCACTTTAACTCACTTTTACCATCTTAAAATAAATGGTCTTAGAAGACACACAGTCACCCTTTTGTCAGCTTTTTATTTTCATTTGGGAGCGTAGTAATATTTATATCTGACTTTCAAGCTTGGAGATATTAGTATGCCAGTTTTATTTCCAGAAGACTTTTTCTTTCTCTTGACCTTGACTTTTTCAGACATGAAGCAGTAATGATGGGTAGGTGAACTGAAGGGTCTAATTTGATTTTCTTATTGTTCTATTTCAGGGAACAAAAAAGAGGTCTCAGTTAGACCTCGAGCTAGAGATTGAGAACATGGGAGCTCATCTGAATGCATATACGTCCAGGGAACAAACTGTGTATTATGCCAAGGCTTTTTCAAAAGACTTACCAAGAGGTAATTGCTCTCATTCATCAGAAAAACAGCAAAGAACAAGGTGCTTGTCCAGCTTCCAATGAGATGACACAGAATGATGCTTTTGCAGTGTTACAGTCCCTTCCTTCCTGGGTGAAAAGTCCTTTCTTGAACTTCACATGAATGTGAGAATGCAGGTTTGGAAAGGAGCCAGCAGTGAAGCTGATATTTGAAAACATTTTCTCTTCAGAGTCCCAAAATAAGATACCTTTTGGACTTCTCCCTTCCTGCAAGTCTTTTGTCCCCTTGCAAGTCTTGTTAGCACTTGGTCTCTGGGGTGGGCTTCACTTTTGGAACCATATTTTTCTAGTAGTCTGAAAATACTCTTTCCATCTCTATTTTCACTTAGCTGTGGAAATCCTTGCTGACATAATTCAGAACAGCACCCTGGGAGAAGCAGAGATTGAGCGTGAGCGAGGAGTTATCCTTCGGGAGATGCAAGAAGTTGAAACCAATTTGCAGGAAGTTGTCTTTGATTACCTTCATGCCACAGCCTATCAGAAAACAGCCCTAGGACGGACAATTTTAGGACCCACTGAAAACATCAAGTATGTCCAAATTTGTGTCTGTCTTTAATTGTGTGATAACTTTTATATGTTGAAAAGACTAATCTGAAAATGTAGGGAACAGCATCGGTTTTCATTTGTACAGCTGAAATTGTTCTGTGCACTGGATGTAATAGTAAGAAGAATCTCCCTATTGCCTTAGTTCCCCTGTATGCAAGCATCAAAGGGTATGTGAACTACAGGTGTCCTCTGCATGTCTTTGTTTTTTGCCATATTTTTCTCCTGTTTGTTAAAAGTGCATCTGACACAAAATTGGAAGTACTCCTTTTTCCAGTTGGTCACGTGTTAGACAGTACTGTCAGCACAACTGTGTTTGCACTGCTCTTTCAGCATTTGTTTAGACCAGTGAAGACCAGGAGACTGCCAAATGTGCTGCTTTCAAAGGAACAGGAGATCATTAGTGCACCTTGTCTCCACCTGACTGAGTTGTAATTCTCACTCTTCTCAGGAAGCTAGAAGAGCTTTAAAAGGCAAAATGTATCGAGTTCCTATTTCCTTTTTAGGAAGTCACCCTTATTTCAGCTTTCTGCCTCTGTTCTGTGCACTGGCAGAACTTATTATTATGGTATTCTGTTGGTTTATACATTTACCTCTTTTTGCTCTAGTCAGCTTTACTGACACAGTAATGATGTCTCCATTCCTGTTTCTAGATCCATAAATCGTAATGACTTGGTTGAGTACATAACAACACATTACAAAGGACCCAGAATGGTCCTGGCTGCTGCTGGAGGTTAGTATGGGATATTCACCCTGGATCATGTGAAACTGTGCTTGAAACCATGGCCTAAGTCTCTGGGAACAACACAATGAATTATCCATTGTTCAGTAGGTCCTGGAAGTTCATTGTTAGCCCTGTGTGTTTTGTGCCTTCATAGCATTTGAACTTTTGTTCCCTTTTCCTCTCAGTAAAATTCCAGAAACCTTAAACTGGTGACAAGAAGTGAATTGGAGGCCAAAGTCATTCTTCCATGTGGGCAGGAAAGGAGGGTCCTAAAAGGCATTCAGTGTGAAAAGGGGCGTGGCAAGGAATGCAGAGACAAAGTAATAACTTTAAGGCTTGAAACTGAGAGCAAACAGCTTGATTTGGTGTGATTTTAATGGAAGGCTGTTAGAGAGAACTCAGGAATGGGAATCATGATCTCACTCTGTGTGATGGAGAGGTGTGAGGAATGCAAAAGTGAGGTATTAAAGCAGGGGCCCAATGAATTACTGCTTGGTTGAGTCTTTAGACTGTACAGCAATTTAAATGAATTGTTTACAGAATAACATCATGAAGCATGTGAAATACCTTTTTTCAGGGGTCTGTCATGATGAACTGCTTGACCTAGCAAAGTGCCATTTTGGTAACTTGCCATCTGCTCCAGAAGGAGGACTGCCACCCCTGCCACCTTGCAGCTTCACAGGTAGTGAGGTAAGCTGTTGGGTGGCTTTGTCAGCTGGCCCTTACATCCCCTGACATCTGCTCTCTGCTAAAGAGAGAGGGCTGCTCTGACACAGACTTGACACATGAAAGGGTTTCTTGCCCCCAAAGAGGGCGATGGGAGTAGCTGCTTTCCAGAGCGGTACTTTGGGTCCTTTCTTGGACAAGCCTCACTGCCACCACTTTTTATGCTTCATCACTTCCTGGAGGATTATGTCCCTTATACTTGCTGCTACTTTCCTTTTATCCCCTTGACTGTGCTGGTGGAGCATTTCCACTTGTTGAGAACCAGTTATTTAAAGGATGTGGCAGAGAACTCTGTGGCATCCTTGTTCTGTTCCCATCTCTATTCAGATTTTGCAAAGTCATCAGATTTCCTCGCTGCTGGTAGTTGTAAAATGACTTGTAATGCCCTCTCTGTGTATGTTGGCAAAGTCCTCTGAAATTGCCTCAGGGAAGACTAGTTAAGGCTGATGTTAAACTAAGCTTGACGTGCTTTAATTTTGGTTTGTGCACGCTTTGTAATCCATCTGTAATGGAAAAGTCTGTCGTCTGATATTCAACTTCGCATATACCTGACTGTGTACAGGTTGTACTACAGCTGCTCTCTGTTGTTACACAGATTCGAATCCGGGATGACAAGATGCCCCTGGCCCACCTGGCCATAGCTGTGGAAGCAGCTGGCTGGTCAGACCCAGATACAATCCCACTCATGGTAGCCAATACTCTGATAGGTAACTGGGATCGTTCCTTTGGAGGAGGCGTGGTGAGTGAACCTGCAAACACCGTCCTGCTCTGAATGACCTTGGTGGGCTGGTGAGATCTCCCTGACTTGGGTACTGCCAGGACAGATGAGGGGGTTCAGTTGTGCATCTGAGAGAATTTGTCACCCAGGATAATTTTAGGAAGTGGTTCTAAACCACCAAAATAGAGGTGACTTGAGATCTTGCCAGCCTTCATCGAAAGTAGGATGTTTTATACCTGTATGTCATCAGAACCCATGGGTATCAGTAACTGTCCCTTTCTTGAACCTAAGCAGTTTCATGATTTTGGTTTAAATCTGGGCTGTTACTTCCAAATGTGAGATTATGTACAAGGAAAGCAACTGTTGTGCTGAAGAGCTGATAATTAACCTCACAGCTTCTGCTGGAGCCTGTGATAGTACTGCATGTTCTGTCACCATTAAATGAAAACAGGAAATCAATCAGGGAGATGAATAGGAAGCTTCCAAAATGCTTCATAAAACAGTATCTTCTTCTTTTGCCTCAGCAGAATTTATCCAGTAAGCTTGCTCAGATTGCCTGCCATGGTAACCTGTGTCACAGTTTCCAGTCCTTCAACACCTGCTATACTGACACAGGGCTGTGGGGACTCTATATGGTCTGTGAGCCATCTACTATTCAGGACATGGTGCACTTTGTTCAGAGAGAATGGTAAGCTAACAACTCTCTCTCTTAAAAGGTTGTTTTCTGTGGTGGAATGCAAATTAAAAATATATAAATAATTTAAAGAGAGTATTTTTGTTTCTCTGCTTAGGCTCATCTGGAAAAAAACAAATGCATCAAATTCTAAACTTTGGCATCTAATGCAGAGTCCCAGCAGCCAGTTTGTGGCACCCTTACTTGGAGCAAATAGCTTAGATTTAGGTTTTGTTTTCTTTCTCTGCCCTGGAAGAATGACCAGGCACTGTAGTTAATATAACAGCATTCCTTGTACAAGTACATATGGCAGGGAATTTTGGGCTGTTACATACAGAATTTTGAAACTTGGGATTCTAGATAATATTCATTCATCTAAGGCTTAAATCTATATTGAAGTATGTCCCTAGGTGCAGCTGTAAAGCTTGAACTGCAGATGTGATTAGAAACAGACATAAATTACGTAAGGGCACAGATTTAAAGTGGATGAAGTTGAAACAGAAGTTGAAAGAAATCTTGAAAATATGGAGTTTCTTTAATCACATAAATCACTTCTCATATACCATTATTCTGTGAGATCTCTCTTAATAACTCAGGGAGAAAAAAGGCATGAATTTAGCTGTCCCTTTACTGCAGCTTAGCACCAGAGAAGATACAAACAATTCCTGGGACAAGAATCGAGTGTTAAGATATTTGATGCACTCCCCTCTCCTCATGAAATGTTCCTTATACAGAGTGGCAAATCTCACCAAGAGAAGAGCCAGGAAGTGATGGATTGCCTTCCAGCTAATTACTTCTGATTGCTTGGCTCCTATTTTCCTAGCAACACCCATTCTCAACATAACAAGTACACTTGGCTCAAAATATACGTTTAATAAAACAAAATGCAGCTCTTCTAAGGGGAAAAACTTGCTTTTGGGTATATTGGCAGGCTTCCCAAAACCCTACTCTAATGCTGCTGCTTTGCATCCTATGCCTTGTTTCCATGCCAAACTCTCCTACCAGCTCTGTCTGTAGAAAAGAAGTGCCTGGTAGGTGCAGGAGTGTCTGTGCACCTCTTCATCACAGGCAATCTTGTGTGCTACAGGCTACTATTATTTAATGCCTTTGGATTTAAACTGTTTTTCAGGATAAGACTTTGCACAAGCGTTACAGAAAATGAAGTAGCTCGAGCGAAAAATCTTCTAAAGACAAATATGCTGCTACAACTTGATGGTGAGACTTATGAGAGCTTTTTATTCTTTGTGGAGTTGTAGGCTGGTAACTGAAGCATATTTTCCCTTATTTTAGGGTCTACACCAATCTGTGAAGACATTGGAAGACAAATGCTGTGTTATAAGCGCCGAATCCCAATTCCAGAACTTGAGGCGAGAATTGATGTAAGTGGCAGTCACGGTGAAACTTTTAAATTAGGCAATTGAGAAAATTGTTTGCTACAAAAAGTAAAAATACAGAAGTTGGACTGCTCCTGGGTGGGAAAATGTTTCCAGCTGAGAAAACTTTGAAGTGTTTTGTTGCCTGTTCCCGTGGATTATACAAAATTAAGGTCACAAGTTTTAGATGGGATGGTAACAAAGGTGTCTCTTTCACCTCTTTTAGGCTATTGATGCCCAGACTATTAGAGAGATCTGCACAAAGTACATCTGTGATAAGCATCCTGCAGTTGCTGCTGTTGGTATGTGATACAAGTTTCCCTACCTTCCCATAACCCCTCCAGACCAATCACTATCAGTTGAACATGTGTCATGGCCAACTTTCTTTGACTTCCAGGTCCAATTGAACAACTCCCAGAGTATAGCAAAATCTGCAGTGGCATGTATTGGCGCCGTGAGTAGTGAATAACAAGAACTTTCAGTATATTTGAGCTTTTTTAAAAAAAAAAAGAAAGAGAAAACCAATAAAAAACCCCAAAACAAAACAAAAAACCTCCCACCAAGCAACTACACCTACACCCCTGTGTTAAGCTTTTGAGTTGTATTTGAGAAGATTAAATCTCAAGAACCAGCCACTCCTGTTTGTCTGTATACTGAAAAAAGGAATGGAAACATGTACAGTATTTGCATTTTTATTACAAAACAAAGATTGTCAGTAAGAGTCATTTCTTGACTTTAGTAGCATTCATCACTTGTTCTTGAGCAGCTTTCTTTGCCTTGACCATTTCAACGAGTTCCTGGAGAGTTGGGGGGAAAAAAACCACACCAAACAATTTAATTAAACATGGAACGTGTTAACAATGCTAGGGTTTTGAACCCTACATATATTCACTGTGAAACACTCTCACTCTCAACATAGTGAGAAATCTGCATAGTTTAATACTGTGAAGCAATTTCTCTTAGGAACAAATCAATTGATGGAAGGTCAATGCTCATCTACCTCCCCTGTAGTAGGAACTTTACCTGCAGGAGGATAGGGACAGGACTTTACAAGAGCTTGGTGTCAAATTGTAAGATTTCCTGAGACAGACTTTCCTTCCCAGATTCCAGAGCCACTACTTTCACCAAGGAACATTTAGTCCTTAAAGCTCTTTAGGAGTTGAGTTACCAAAAATAAAGTTTCTCCATAAGGTTCCATCAGTTTGCTGCTGTCAGAGACCATCTCTGGTAGGCAGTGCAACAGTTAAAGCAAAGGATTCTATCAAGATGTGGGCTGATGACAGTCCCAGGAGAGGTGAGGTCCCTTACCTTGTATCGCTTCATGCAGTCTTTTTTTGACCGGCCTGGAACAGCTGCTGCTATTTTCTCCCATCTTTCGGGAGTATTTACTGGATAAGTCTTCAATGCTTGTTCTAAGAGTTTTTGTTCTTCTGTAGTCCAAGGGGATGAATCTAAAGGTGATCCTGTTTTTTAAATGCAAAAGTGACAGTAAGAAAAATATTGTAAAATCTATTTAGTTGATTTAAAATCCGTGCAGTTTTGAAAAGCCCAAAAAAACAACCAACCCTGAAGCTGACTGGACAAGTGACCCTCAGGATCTTTAGATAAAGCCTGGGGAAGTTAGAAGGGAGCATCTTTTGTTGTCAGCTGAGTGTTAAGATTGCTGTAGCTGCCTGCTTAAGGCACAGCACTAGTAAGGAACACTCAGCAAGGAAACAGCCTTCTGTAAGTGTCTGGAAAACTTGATGGGAGGTGTTTGGGGTTTCACAGGAGACCAAAAGCTGTGTGATGATCCTGTACCTCAAGTGCATCCCCTCAAGCTTGTTCTTCCCTCAAAGTGTAACACCCTCTGAGGAACAAATGATCTCAGCACCAGACTTAACCTGTTGCCTCACCAGGAAGCATTTCAGACCGTCACTGTGTAGGTCACTGTGGGGTGTATTGTGTGTACCAGAAATGCTGAAATCCGGCAACAGAGCCTGGATCACTTTCTATGTTTGTAATCAAGTCTTGAGTTTGGGTTGCTTCCTTTCTAAGAGCCACAGGGGAGACAAGTCTGCAAGAAGGGCTCCCTTTTCATCTTTACCTTCAAATCGTTCCGAGGGGGCAGCACTGTCCATCTGAGGCACCACACCGTGTTCTTTTTTAAATTTGTCAAATGCTTTCTTGTTTATGTCATCTTTTTGATGAGGGTCTATGAGCAACAGACATTGAAGAGAAAAATAATTGCAACAGTTAAAGCCACATGTAATAATAAAAACACTGTGTAGCAGATTACTAGTTTACAATAATCACATAATTAAAACTATTCTTACTTCCTTTAAAATAATGGTAAAGAAGTTGGTAGATTAAAAAAAATAATCTTTCAGGGTCCAATAAACTTTGCTCAAAGTGTCAGGCTCTCCAACCCCTATCCTGCTTTATACTGCTCAGAGGAATACTTGTTCCATATAATCTTAAGCCTGAATCTGCAACTTCAGAGAAATCCAGAAGGATTATTCTCTCAAGTAATGGCTCCTGCACAAAACTCACATATTATCCAGGGTGCGAGTGTGTCAGAGGGGCAGGAACACTGGGGAAGTTCAGGCAGGTGGTTTGGAATGGAGAAGCCTCTTAAAAACTTTGTGCAATTTTTTTTTTTTGTTCTGTAGTGAAATATGTAATTTCCTTAAGACCTTATTCCAGAGCTCTCTAGGCTTCATTTATCATTTTATTATTATTCATTTTCAAAGGAGATGAGCCACATTAATTTACGTGTCTTACTCTGATGTTTCTAAAGTATCTCTAGAGCTTAGTCACCTCCTTTTATTTTAGATGCCTTCCTTTGTAGGGAGCTTTTCCAGAGGCCCACTTGTCTCTGGCTGAGCCCAGGCAATGCATGTGGCCCAGACACATTTGAGCATCCAGCTACAGTGAGACTGTTCCTGAGAGTCACTCATGAGGTGGTAACTTGCACAAAAACCATTGGGCTGAAAACACTGAATCACATAAATGCTCCTCTAAATCTTCCATCTGAACTACACTTCTGGGGGATATACAGAAGGTTTTCTCAGAAACACAAAGGCATTTGAAAAAAAAATCCAGCTGTGCAGAAGCATGCAGAATATCTTATTGCAAAAATAAGGTAATATAGATACCAAGCTTTTGAAGGCTCTTGGCTTTATTGATGACATCTTTTGCTGTTCGTTTTATTCCAGTAGTAGAGTGCAAGTTCATGTAATTGGCAATAACTTCCCACCTAAATCAAGAATAGAAATGGTAAACCAGCATATTACATAATTATCTTCTTACAAGTGATGGTCAAGCTCCTGTACACATTTTATATCAAATCCTAAGTAAGTTTAATCATACTTAAATACATATAAAATGTCAGGGTAACTATTCTGGAAAGCTTTCAGTTACTAACTGAAGAATTCAGTCAGTTGAGTGAACTTCAGCTGCTGATACAGAAAAAGGATGGGGTAGAATGTAGGTGAGTGCAAACCTCTAATCCTCAAAATTCTGCTCAGATGTTGCTTTCCTGAATTCCCTGAACACCTCTGACATTAAATACTGCAGGGTGCACTCAAGGGCTGAGAAGTTACTAACCCTTTGTCCACTGCTCCCCAGAAGGCCTAAACATCAAGTAAAGGGGCTTAAGCAGGAAAGAGCTAGAACAGCCCTATAGCCCCAGAACTATTCCTAGTGCATTCTTAGAGAATGGAAAGCAATATTTGCACCTGATCAGGCAGGAGGATGGTGTCTAGGCCTGTGCTCTCAGTGAGCACTGACTGCTGAGCTGCAGAAACAGGCACTGCTATTGTCTCCAGAGAGTATGGCAGCTTTTATTTTATTTTTTTAAAGTATGCCTCTAAGTCTTGTAATTGAGGCCTCAAATCCCAAGTGGAAGAAGGCATTTAATTCCTGGGAAAGAGCAGAATTTAAGGCATACTCCTGTCCTTCATACTTATTAGTCCATCCTTATTAGTAAGGATGTCCATCCTTATTAGTAAGCTGATTGCCAGTGCTGCTTTCTGTAAATCCCAACCTTTCCCTTTCCCCCGGCTCTGCCCTAAGGAAAGCTGGTGCACTTAACTCATCTCTCTGCATGGTTTCCTCCTACTATGTAGAGGAGAAAGCAGCCTCATATTCATTGTGGAGCTACTGGAAGTAGCTTACACACTTGTATTCCTACCCAGCTGCATCTCAGCCACTGTTCCAGTTTTGTTCTCCACTTTAACAACTGGAACCTACCCTGGAGGAAGCCCTGTGCAAACATGCACCTCAGCACCTTCTTGGTAATGGACTGAGGCTCCAGTCTGGGGGAAACGATACAGGGCCAGAGCTAACTCCAGTGACACATAAAGCATGGTACTAAGGGAAAACAAGAGTCAAGGAAAAGGAGGAAGTTTAGGAAGTCCTCATACTGACACCATACTTAGGAGGGTCTGAAAGTAAGTTGTATTATGCTTGTTATTTAATTAAAAATTGTTAGTAGGGATTTTAGCACCGATCTCGAGGAGTACCTTGAGTTAGTCCCTGCTGGAAAGAGGTTCACAGCTTTAATTAACAACTGTAAGTCATCTTCTGGCCAATTTTTGCTTCCCCCTCCACCACCAGTGGTTGACTTTTCTGAACTCTTTGTTGCTTGGCGCATACGAGCTTCTGCCTCTTCTTTCTCTCGCCTTATTTGTTCATTTATTTCTTCTATCTAAGGATTGTAAATAAGCATTATTTATTTATTTATTGATTGAATTTTTACATTTCACAGTGACACAAACCCCTCTCTCTGGAATTGCTTTGAGCCTTGAATTCTGCTTAGTTTCTGTTCTGTACATGATACATAAGGAAATGGAGGTGCTTATCTGCTCCAGTATTATTTCCCTCCATCCCATGCATAAATTTGGCCATCTCAGATTAGGAGTTCAGAAATCCATCACAAGTTCCCTAGGAAATTACATGAAAACTCCCAGAATTAAAGCAAAACTTCAGATCCTAGTGTGAATGTCCAGGCTAACACCTGACTTAGAGGGACAGATCCACAAAAGTAATAAAAGCCTAAAGTGACCAGTGAGGGCAGTGAAACATCCATGTTGAATACAGATTCCCAAATCTTCCAACCAAACTGCTGTCTAAGCCTGGTTATGTCAGAAATTCTCAGTTACAACAGTTGCAGTAAGTTAGTAACTAAAATCTGGGTTGTTGCAGTTAATGCTAAGAGTTTACTCAGAGTTAGATGGCCAGGTGTAGTTTGATAGCAAGCAGTTCAGCAGAATTTAAGTTACCCATTGCACATCTTTGTGACCTGTAATCACATCTCGAGAATGTGGTGTGACACATCTTTAATTATCTGCTTCCCAGTTCAGTCTTGGCAATATTAAAGGAGCTGTGCACTGACCCCTGTTGGCAGATTGCCCAAAATAGGTTTCTCACTCTCTGTCTCAAAATCTTTCTGGCAAAAGGAAAGTTATCTGGCAGATAATTTTTATTAATGCAGAAATGGAATAGTTTTAACAGACAGAAAGGGGACTTCCTGTGTTTGGAACACTCTCCTGGAGAATGGAAGATTGAATTC